TAATTAATGGCAAAAAGCGCCTGCCTCCTTCAAGGACTGCCATCTAATAACCCTTACTCACCCCACAATATATCGCTCACCCGGTTACTTTAAAAAGGACGGAAATTTCTTCTAATTGCCTTCAGCCAGTATCGATCTCCGGATACTGCCATACCCGCCTAGCGATCCCTGGCCGCTAAACCACAAGCATACAATGATGTACGATACCACGTACCGACGCATGTGTACGACAGAAATGTCTGACTCAACCAACAGATGAACCATATCTTCGCCCTTCACCAGGCGTTGCCTTCAATAGGCAAACACCTGCTAATTTACGAGATGCCGACAAAGCGCAAGGTCTCCCCGCCCCTACATATTATATCGCCCCATTCCATTAAAATCAGCATCCGATTGTGCCTAAGTACATAAACTGGTTTTTTCCGTGACCAAGCCTTCACACAAGCTTTAAGGGGAGAAGCGTCACAATGCGTATCGTCAAGTACAACTGAACGACTGCAGCTTGCTGCCGTGCCCGTCCATTCTAAAACAAACAAAAGGGCCAATTTTGCCCTTTTAGCAAGAATCACAGAAGCGCCGGTGAGCCAATATAGCGCCCTGCGTAGCCACTCCAAACGGCGGCGCTTGTTAATCAAAAACTGCAACAACAGCCTCAAAAATTCAGAGAGCTTTCGAATCCCGAATCCCTCCTCAGGCCCTGTCCCAGCTAGCAGTCCGCACGACCCCTCATGTCTTAGGTAGCGGCTCAACAGCTGAAACTGGGCAGTAGGGCGAACTAATTATTAATGTGCTCCAAGACTGATGCCTAAACGAGCAACGTAGTGACTCCTTAAGCGCGGTGAAGTGTGCTGCGTCGATGCCTTAACCTGAAACGTGTCCCGCTACCTATCTATGGATCCATGCATATGTATGTCGCGAGCAGGCTTGTCAGCTGCTTGACATTGGATTTTTGGAGACAGCGGGAGAAACAACTTCGAAGCCACAGTCGTCATTGCCTTTTCCTTCTGTTGCGTGGCAGCATTCTGTACTCCTTGCCTCCTGCCTCAAAAGTAGGCAGGCTTGCACTCGCGCGCCGACTGTGCTGTTTCCTCAGCCCGCTTTGTGGAGGCCGTTGGGACGTAATGCCCTCTCGGGCCCTTTGTTCTGCTACTTCGGGCGCATTCGTTTTGGGGCGAGGGCCCAGGTCATCCGCAAAGAAACTCGAAACAGCCGAGGCCACTGCAGCTGGAGATGGTGAACGGGAAGGCAATTTCTGTTCTTCATCTCCATCTGGCTTTGCGTACGCTTGCTTGCGTGGCGGCGAACGCCTCTGAGGCTGCGGGATGCTAACCATGGGCAACCGCTCTGCTGGAGGTTCGGGGAATGGCTTAACCACAACAATATCTCCTCCTTTTTCTCGCAGTTCAAATGTTCCCTGGTGGGCTCCTCCGAAGCGCTGTCTCAAAATATCCCAGTCCTCGTCGTCTGAGTCGCTATCTTTCTGTTTTAATGGGTTTGGAGTTTGCGTTGCTTCGCCATCAGTTGTCACGATTGCCTTCCATGGGGGTTCTCCTGGCATGTGGTACACTGACTGCTGGGGAGGGGCTGAAGGGGAGGTAGAGAGCCCGGCTATGCCCATCCGTGGAGTCAAAGCCTTTGGGGATGTGCGCTCTGGGCTCTTTATGACTGGCAATTCCTCTTTAGGCTGTTTCTTGCGAGCCGCGTGCAAACTCGGAGGGGGAGAATCCTCTCTGAGGTGCTGCAAACGCTGCTCCTCAATGCGCCTCTGCCGTTCAGGGTCTTCCCAACGAGTCAAATCTAAGCGCTCCTCCGGTATGTAGGCATTAGGATCAACTGCACCCGCACACAATGAGAAGCACAAGGCTGCTTTTGTTCTTCAGGCTCAGGTATGTGGTTCAGCGGCTGCAAGCCCACAGCCTTCTGATGGCCCAAAAGTTCACTACAACCACATGTATGGTTGGCTACACTTGAGCTCTTTGGGCGATGCTCACCAACAGCCCTTCTGGCAGCTTGAAGCCCCGCATCCATTCCTAAGTCAAATAGCTGCTGCTGTCCCATCTGCTGCCTCGCGTGCATTGGGTCTTGTTGCTCGTAATACGAAATGAACGCCTTCCTTGCCTGCACCTCTTCGATTTGGTCGTTCACATGTTGTATGGCAGCTTCAATGCCAGCCACGTATTTCCCCTGTCGCCGAGTGACCTGGCGGAGCACCCGCATCTGTTCGGCTGCAACATCAAAGAGTCAACAAAAAGAGTCAACATGAATGGCACTAAACTCCCTGCCGTTATTACTAGCAGCTTCACTAGGTATGCTAATAATGCACGACTGGATAACGAGAGGCTCACCAATGACGCCAAGGTCGTGAAGGATCAAATAGTGCTTGGCCCTCAGGAATTCAATGTCGGTCAAGCACTGCTGCAACCGAACAATCTGAGTGGAAAGAAGGGCTTTGCTGATGTACTCCTGCAGCAACAAGGCCATCCATAAAAGCAACAACGGCAACAGCCTGGCTTCTCATCCCCATCCACAGAATTCACAGCTACAATAAGTTCAGAAGCATTTTTTCGTCATCCGTGCAGCGGTATGCTGCAATGCTCCGCGGCTCGTGTTGTGTCAAGAGCCATCACTTGCCTGAGTGCTCCTTGGCTCTCTGACTAGAAGCGGGAGCTCCTTGAGGGACATGAAGAACTCATCTTTAAGATTGACAAATCCTGAATTCACAGGCTGCTCGCCACCAAGGTTAACTCCCCATGTTTGCAGCGAAAGACACTTGACGAAGGCCTGGGCATATCAGTCGCCCACATATGCAGCGGAGTGCAGTGCATGCTGAGAAGAATGCACGGCTTTTTCACATCGTATCCTGCTACTGAGACTCTAAAAACTAACCCCCACCTTGAAATAAAGGATCACGGTGTCATTGACCATCAGAGGCACACGTTTCCGCTGTACGACGCCATATTTGGCCTCCAGGGCGCTTTGCATCTCAGCTGCCTCTTCGGCCTTCAAGGACTCGTACCTAAGAGCATATTCATGCAAATGCTTAGGGTGCAGGATCTCCGTAGCAACAAATAAGTACTACGGGCAGCAAGCCTGACAACGCTAGTGCCTGTCTCCACCCCTGTGAGAGACAGTACCCAGGCAAAGCCCCCAAATGAGCTAAAGGTGAACACGGGAGAGACGCTGCTCATTTTGGTGCCAGTTGCTTCCTTGGAAAAGCAGGCTAGTATAATAACCAACAGACGTTAGCATAAGTGTGATTTCAATGGTTGTGTAAATTGCCCGGTGTGCGGATATTAATGCTATGCTACAATCTGAGAAAGCGTACCGAACGTAGATCATCGATAGGACAATGTAGTTCAGGAAACCAAAGAAGAACATACACACAACCAGACAGAACACTTGAAAGAGCCAGCCGATGCTGCGGCCTTGCTGCGGAATTGTGATAATTGAGTTGAAATTCCACCTGGATTGCGTCAACATTACGCAAGAAACGACTGCATTCGCGTAGGTCGAAAAACCGTCGTATGAGCCCCCCAAAACGCAGTAGCCTGCAGACAGAAGCACACCGTATCGAAGCCATTTGAGTTGCAGTGTGCTCTCTCTGCTGTCTTTTTGTTCTTCTATCCCCGACCTGTGCATCATCCACTCGGCAAGACTACTGCAGCTTTCAGAAGACCAACTAGCTAGGAATGCCCCAAGAGAAGTGCGCCGTTGGTTCTGGCGGCTGAGGAATCAGTTGTGTTCCCGTCCCTCATCTTGCGGAAGCACGGGGAGGCTTACCAATCAACGAGAATAAGAGGAATGAACTGAAGAGAGTGCACAAAGTGCATGCCATTTGCACCTTTGCAGCATTGAGGTGCGACAGGAGCTTTCGAAGGCCCTGCATTCTCTCGGGTATGGCAGGGACCATAGTGATGAAACGGATCATTGCGATCACAAAGAGCAGCCCAGCACATATCTTGCAAAATAAAAGGTAATTTGCCAGCGTCTCTATGCGTTCTTGGAGTCGTAAGAACCGCGGGAGAGATTCAGCAGAAGGAGGCGGCTGAGACCGTGTGGGCACTGCAGTAATGTCACAGTGCAGAGGCGGTCGCTTGAAAGCGCCGTCTGGGTTTGACAAGGTATGCTACTTGCTGCAGGGTGTTGCGCTTTGGAGGCACCTTACAACGGCTGTGTTGATCCATGCGAATGGGTCGAACAGCGACGGCCGCAACAGCAAATGCCCTGTATCTAGCTGAACTACTCTGGCCTTGCGCTACCTAAGAAATGCTGCAGCAGTAAAAGCGAAAGGTCGTGGCTCTCCTTGACTTACTGCTGGCGCTGCCCGGCAGCCACTGCCAGGGCTGGACGGGCCCTGGGACAAATTTGGGGATGTTCCCTGTACTTCCTGTTGCTGTTCCCGCCGCTATCGAACTGAGTTCATCAGTCCACCCGGGGTCGAACGCTACGTTGTACATACACAACAGGAAGAAACAGCAGCAAGCGAACGAAAGCGCCAGCGGCATGTCCAGGATAATGAGGTATAAAGGATACACCCGCCGTTTTTGCACTGCCCTGTACGACAGGACGAGGTAACCTAACAAGCACAGGAGAGCCAAAGGCATGAAGATCACTTCCGGCCTCACGCCCGTCTCCAAAGGGTGTATGTGCCAGGCCGGAATAATCGTCACCCCCAAGGAGGTCTTCAACCCGCCTTGATCCATTGTTACAACAACCTGGGCGCACGCACCCTCAAGCCACACCCGCAGTGTTCAATCTGCATTCGCAGTGCACCGTCTCTATTGGTTAGGCATCTCCAACAAGCGCTTTTTTCGCCTCCACAAGCCCACACAGTACGACATGCTAAGCTTGGGCGCAACCCAGCAGTCCCACAGTCGCTGAGACCACCCAACTGGCTGACCTTATTCAGAGCAAACATGCTCGAATCTCCGTTGTACGTCATCCACAAGACTTCCAATTCCAGAAGTTGCCAGTCGAGGAAGTTCATGGAGCGCAGGTGTTGCACCTTGGTTCTCATAGACGTGCTGCCGGCATATATCTCTTCAAAGTCCGCTGCAGTCCAGTGGACGTCGCTCTGTGGTCTGCTGTGGTCATCTATCGGGGACTGACCTTTCGTAGGAGCTGACTGAGTTGGCTGGACTTGGCGAGACGGGCTACCCCTCCCCTTGTATTGTGCCGTCTCAATCCCGGACCCCACTTCCGCAGCTATAAACGTCTTCGGGGCATCTGAGCCAGAAAAGTATATCGGCACAGTGTACACGCGCTCCGCACTGGGGTGGAAGCTGCCGCCTCCATATGTTCCGCTCGTCCAATTCCGAAACACCGCCTGCTTGCGGCGTACCGGATACAACTCCGCCACTGCACAGGACAGACGACAGAGCTCAAACCATGTCAGATTAGGAAAGCAGATTCGTAAATAACAACAAGAGGAGTAGAAGCAACAAGGATAATGCAAGGAATGTCTGAACATCACCGTGCCCCAGTACCGCCTAAAGCGCTCAGGTACGATAGGGGCCAAGATTATAGAGAGGCCTAGCTGCGGGTCAGGCTCACGGCTTTCGAATGTTTGGCATTCCAAATCTATCCTCGTGAGGCGCAACACCGCACCAGGATTAGCAAGAGGTATTGCATTCGTGGTAGAGGGCGAGTTGAATGCTGCATTGAGTATTTGGCCAGCCAACACCTGCTCCAACCAGTCGTACACCCCCGAAAGAGAAGTCACACTGCTAATTTGCAGTAGGCGCCGGATTCCCTGCAGAGAGACATGGCGGTGCACAGAGCATGCACACAAAGAAGACTCACAACATCGTCATATGCTTTCCTAAACATAAAAGCAAAGATAGCAACCCCATTACGCCCACGCTGCTATCAACAGTCCCCTATGATAAACACTCACTTGGGGCTGGTTAGTAGGGAAGGTTGCAGCGATCGTGCCGCATTGCGGGCGAGGTATCATCCACACTGGCGGAGTCTTCATGTTGGCCTCTCGTGACGTGAAGGGGTCGGTTGTGCTGAAAGGCTGCAGCGTCTGTTCGATGGCTTTGTTAAATTCGCGATTGACGCGGGGTGTGTCACAGAGGAAGCAAATTCCCAACGAGAATAAGACAATAAACGGAATGAAGAGTGCTGCCAGCTTCCTGTACTCAACAGCAGCCGTATCTTCTGCCTCAGACACGTTCGCTTTGCCTTTCTTGCTGTCCTGCTCTTCGCTCAGTATCGCAGCTGTCTCATCCTTCCCCATTCTCGCCCTCTTCTGCAGTTCCTGGAGTAGAAAACCCACAATATAGGGCACAACACAGTGAAAATGTGCCTCACTTGCTTCATAGCACCGCAATCTGTCAACTGCACATACGAGGCATCAACACCGATTCAAACCGACGTCCGCTAACAATTCGGCGACTTTCTTCTTGAACCTACTTTCATACCTCATCTATTCGGCTTTCATCCTTGGGATCTGGAGTGCAGAAAAATATATTGTTTTCCATCCACTCGCGAGTACGGTCTATGATATCAGCTCCTGCACAGAATATCGGGCCAAGACGACAGCAAGAAAAAAATGAAACTCGCCCACACCATTCATTTCCCAAGCGGCGCAGCTGTAAGGCTTCTAATATTATCTGTCCTCTTGAAAATAAACGAGATGGTACAAGATATACCACCCTTCTAACCAGCTTCCGTTTTGTTCGTGTGAATGCAGGACCACAAGGTCCAAGACTTGCCCAAATTTTCTCTTTGGCCGGCTCGAACTTTCTTCACAACAGCACTGAGGGACTGAATGTTAATTGCTACCAGCATGGGGACAAAGACGACCCAAACGACAAGTAATCCGATGGCGGCGACGATAAATGCTACGGGAGGCATCGACTTGATAAAGGGGGCCCCAAAACTCAAACAAACCGTGTAAAATAAGGAAGAGGTGAAGGTCCGAAACTGTGGGACCCGAGGCCCTGCAGGGCAGCCGAATTAACCACAGCACAACAAAATCGAAGAAAATAAGCAGAATATTTGACGATCAAGATGCCTGCACAGTGCCCATGCCCTCAGAAAACCGCGTCAATCCCTGTACCCCTGCGGAACAATCAGCAACCCCTGAGCAGGTGCGTATATAGTGAACTATCTCAATTCTGTACGGAAGTAAGTGGTAGGTGAGAGCTCTTCAGCCCGTGTAAACATGCGCTCCCGCCATCACTTTGACGGTCTGCAGCTGCCTTCAACGGTTCGGCGTGGTTCGGTACCCCGTGGGGTTCTACTCAGACGTTAAGCTGCTGACCCAGGAGAATGTAGTTGCAAGCCGTCGCGCCAAGAAGCAGCAGAACTGTGACTAAGATAATTCCTCCGAATTCGTTGACAAACACGACAGTGCTCTTTTCTAGCACCAGAAAAAATATACTGGCCCCCGAGAGCGCGTGCAGGAGCCGCAAAATGAAGGCCCAACCGGTAATGATAAGAGCCACCCCCAGTATTCCCTCCAACACTGAGAAGCAAACGCCCGCACAGCAATTGCCAGGACCCTGAAGCGTTTTCCCCGGATGCATCATTCATACGCAGCATATGACAGCTTCAACACCGTTTCCAAAAGGAACAGCGTGGCTGTGGCGTTCCATTAGCACAGAAAGGTAACTCAACACGTGCTTCACCTTCGAGAGCTTCCACTAGAGGAGAGCTGAACTCTGAGTTCGTTATTACGTGACTCAGAATGCAGCAGGCCAAAAGAAGAGTTGCCCCCAACAAACTCGTCATGGCCACGAACGTGCAAGGCCACCGCTCTTCCAAATACCGCCGCAGAGGGCTCCTATCATCTTCGAAACTGCACAACAGGGCACAAAGGCTGGCGAACAGTATCACGCGAATTTCTCCCCCAACACGGGCCACATGCTTCAAGGAAATACTCAATCAATACCCTGTACTGTCCTTGTACAAGCATCGTATGGTGTACCCCGATCGTATTACTGATGTCATCACAAACCTGCTTGGCCTGTTGACTTAAGAAAAAAACGAAGGTTGCTGAGAACTATAACCACGTTTAAATGTGCATGTTCATCAGTCTGGCTCAGCTGAGCAGTCGTTCGGTGCTTGCTGAAAACGGGCGTAAAGAGCTTTAACTAGCTGTTTCTCAGCGAAGGGCCAAATTGCCTCAGAGTACAAGAAGCCAACAGATGGTGGACACACCGTCGAGTTCTCCTTGTTAGCTTGAAGGCCAGCCATTCTACGACGCAGTAGCAGATGGACGCCACCAGATACAGAAGAGAAAAAGCAAATGCAAATGCATTGCCCGAGACCAGTACCGACTGAACCTTCACGTCTGCCGTCACCAGTCCTGAGGCGCTCTGTTTGAAGAAGATCTTTGCAGCTGCAGAAGCACCGAAAGTTTAAGCCTAGCGCCTGTTCTGTACCTCTAATGAAATGAGATTACAGAACTGATACTTCACCCATCCCCTGCCTCGCTGGTTACTGCAACTTTAGCACTTGGGACCCACGGATCTCAACGAATGCCACCATCTACACCCACCGCATTCATTGCCTCTGCCGTCCCGCCCGCGAATGGTCAGCGTTGCTGCCGTCGTAAGCGGCCCCCACCAACCTTCCTTGCCAAGGGCTTCGATGGTGCTTGTGGCATCCACTGCATATGTACCTCCCAGCAGTTGCCCAAAATCAATCGTCTTCTCCTCAGCAGCTGCTCAGCAATCAGAGCGCACAGGAAGAGGCCCAATTCAGTCAGTCGTTCACTAACCCATCGGCACTTTTCCAAAATTCCCTCCCAGCCATGCCCCGCATTGTGCTATCACTAGAAGCATGTACAGCTCTACATGCCTCCGTTTTCGCTGGCCAGCAGCGGCAGCAGCTAAGCAGTCTCTGCGTGCATGTCCTTATCCCCACCGTCAAAGTTGAGTCTCTTGTATATGACTTTGGCTGTATTGGGGTTTTCGTTGTCTACAAGACTGCCTTTAACCAGATGGAGTGTGGCAAGTTGCACCACTACGGAGCCTCCCAAGCTTCCAGTAAAGAGGGTGGGGGCCAGGACTTTAAGAAGCCAAGCCTCTACATCTGCCCAGCTGGTGATGGCACCTGCGGCGATTGTAAAACCGGTTGTTTCTGGGTGGACGTATGCACTGTCACGGATATTACGCAGTTCTACTGCTCTCGAGAAGCTGGAGATGCTCCGCCATCCCCCAGTGTACGCACTGAGGAAAAAGCTCTCTCCTTCTTTGAAAGGCGTGCTGGTCAGATGCGTCCGGACAGTCGCAGTCAACTCGTGGCGCAGAGGCACGGCGTAGTAGAAGATGCCCGCAGCTGTGGAGCTGCCCCCAATAAGCACAAGCAGAAGCAGCCAATTGAGAAATGAATGGTTGCGTTCAAACGACAAATTCGTGTTTTCTGAAAGCCCCACTTGTACGTAGCCGCTGGAGGGGGTGGAGCCCTCGCTGCTTTCTGAAGACTCGCCACGGGAGACAGACGACTCCGAACGCACAGAGACCACCATGGTGAGCTGTCCCTCATGCCAACTGTCTTGCGGCTCTTGCCCTTTCCTGTGTTGGAGACCGCAGGATGCTAGTTCAAAAGTGGGAACACCGGCCCACACCCGGCATTATACCACGCTATAGACCCAAATAAAGGCATCAGCTTCTATAGAGAATCGCATTAAACCCTCATGGACACCTCAGAAACAGCAGCTTCCACGCTCTTCCAAGCCGCATGCAACTGCGGCGGCTCCTAGGAGCCGATGGACGAAAGGAGCGAAGAACGGTTAGTAACGGGGAGAAGAAATACACAAAGCTAACAGAAAAGAGAATGCCCGGGGAGAGAGATAGCCGGATATCACGAAAATTGCAAACACTAGAAAGACAAGCTGGACAATGATGGACGGCCGCTTTGGCTGGACGAAAGCTGAGACCCAAAGGCACGGTAGTAACCTATGCAGTGACGGCCGCCTAACACCCGCCTCATAATGGCAGCTATCCCACGCCGAAAACAGCAGCAGAAAAGAACGAAATCAGAAATGGAGATGAACTAAGGGTTTTATTAATGCCAAATGAGGTGACCAGTGGTATGTGTGTGAGGCCGAACAACGCCGCAGAACCGAGGCCAGGCAGTCATTGTCTGGGCCACTCGAGGGCAACCCTCCGTGAAAAAACAGAGCTAGTCGAATTATTCGAACTATCAAAGTGAATAATTAAATTAAATTACATTACGAGCAAGCCCTTTATCCAGTGCTTGCAGGGAAACCCCCAGACAGCGGACCCCCACCCTCGCTGTGCTCAACGGCCAGTACGGCTTGGCGGCCGCCACAGCGAAGCCGGGCGAGCTAGACGAAGGCAGTCTGCGTTATCAGTGTTCGTTTTTATGTGCAATTTCAGTATTGTTTTGTCATATAACGAACACTTTTAACGATTGAACTTACGTTGCGTATTGTTTACTAACTAACGCAGAACCGCAAAACCTTCGAGCTTTCCACGATCTTCGCCGAGACAACCAGCAACCGCCAAGCATCACTCGCCGCTAAGTCGCGGAAAGAAGCTATGTGTGTAGAGTCCTACTTGGTCCCCTCTTCTTACTGTTTGCTTTTTAAACAACGTTTTACTGCACACGTTCGGAAAACGCATCTTCGTGCTCATTCTCTGCTTAGTAAGGTGCAGTGGTCGCGGTGGCTGTCGCCTGCGGTGAGTCACCTGCCGAGTGGAGCGCTAGAGACCTCTCAGCACACTTTAGCGGCGATTTGATCCTCGCCTGTATCTTTGATATTACTCGTCTTTGGAAGGCAAACGAGCGAGATTACGAAGCATCTACGCCGCTTATCTCAAGCTCCACCGGAGAAGAACCCTGTGGCCCGCCATCCTGATTCAGACGCCAAAGCCTTAGGGTAAAGAGAAGTTAGCCTAGTCTACTTCTCTTGTCTTCTCTAGCGAGGAATCCCAAGGAACACGACAATGAGTTCCTTCCTGTCCATGAGACCTGGACGCTGTTCGAGGGAAAGCGAAGGGGCCCTTGACTCAGCTGACTCACCTGTCGTTCGCTGGGAGATGCTGCCTGCGCACATATGGAACACCAATCGCATGTTTAGCAGCAATGCGGAGAGACCCTTCCAGATAGAACCTCTCGCTGGCATCCCCGCCCAAGTCGCTATGCCAAGCCACCTTGCGCTCTCCCCGAGAGACAACGTCGACGCAGCGGTAGCTGCTGCAGCACAAGCAGCAGTAACGACAGCAGCAGGAGTAGAAGCTTTGCTCAACAGAGGGAACCAAGGAATGATACCTCACAGTCTGGAAGACTGGCCGAATAGCGAAGTCAGTAGTCCTGCGCAAGGAGGAAACGGCGGGGACAGCAGGAGAAGGAACGTGTACGATGGAACAGAGGCAGGCTATGAACGTTTCGAGAGCGAAATGAGTTCTGTTTCTCCATTTCAAGAAGGGGGAGAATGGGTGCTGCAAGACGTTTCCCCACGGAGTACTAGCTGTGACGATACTGCGCCTGAACGCCACAACCTGGAGGCTACACACGACAGTACGACAGGTGAAGAGCCAGAGCTGTTCTTTGAGGCGGATGTGACGGACTTGGGAGTGGAACAAGAATTGTATAGCTCAGATAATAGCGAGAGCGACGACTACAGCGACAGCGACGGCTCCAGTGGCGTTGAGAGTGAGAGCGACGCCGAAGGAGACAGGGTGGAGGAGGAAGAAGAGGAGAACGAAATACAGGAAAAAGGTGCGGAAGAAAAGGATAAGGACGTACTAGAAAAAGAGGAGGCACACGAACAGAAGCCGGTGGCAGCAGTGGGCGATATGTGGCACTGCGTGTGCCCGGTGCACGGGCTAGACGGCCTCGCAGCCGGAGGTGAAACTCTGGACTTTGAGGGCAGCGATGCAGACGGCTGGACAGACGTAGGAGGGATTGGGATCGGGGGATCCACGTCGTTGGAGGCGGCTCCCTGCAGCTGTCTCGAAGCGGCTGCGTTGCCCAAGGGCCCCCGGCAGCAGAAGAAAGAACAGCTCCTCAAAGCAGCGGAGACCGAAGAACGCACAGTAGCCAGCGGCGCGGTGTTATCCGACGGGGAAGGTGTTTTAACAGTGGAGACGGGGCAGAATTTATCGGATGACGCAACTCTGGAGCCACAACTCGGCATTAACAGTATCTGCAGCAGCAACACGGGCTACGGTGCCAGGGAATACAGCGTGTGTGTAACTCCCGAGGCCTCCGAAGGCTCCCTCTCGCCTCAGGCAAGAGCAGATGAACCCGTCGCCGGGAGGCTGCAGTCCCTCATCGCGAGCCTTGAAGCGCAGCAGTGGAGGGGGTTGCTGCGGGCCAATCCCGATTTAGTTACCAAAGTGCAAAAGGAAAGAACAGATGGAGGTTCGGCCAATTGAAGAAGGGCGCAGGTATCAGACATCCTCAGACTAATGATGGAATATATAGGGGGGAACCGAAGAAGACTGGGCAGCCCTCAAACAGTGCTGGACAGTAAAAGAAGTGACCAACCAAACAGCGACACCACACGACGTCAGTATTTACATACATAAATACTGCATATATATATATATATATATATATATATATATATATAGCGCATACACCTAGTGGGTGCATATATAGTATGTGCACATATTGTGACGCAGCGTATGTGTAATGCACACGTTACATGAAATAATGATTGCCCGCCTTCATCGGGGACTTCCGGGCATGCTGTTAGGAGATCCTTTGCCTCATTCATTTATTTACAAAAGTGGCTCTCCCCAGGGCGCCCAAAAGCAGGCAGTTCGGCGTGCGCCGACTGCTGCGGGGGAGTGCTTAAAAAATGAATGTATACAAGTAAAATACATATGTGTGCATAGTTACGTCGTTACTTCCTCGGGTGGTGGCAAAGACAACCCGCAGACTTTTTCTGGCTGCCTCCACATTGGATTGCCTCAGGGAGTACTCGCCTCTGCCAATATATATATGTATATTATATATATATATATATATATATATATATATACGTGTACGTATTACATGTACACAATATGCACATTGTATGTGGGCAAATGGTCGCTTCTAGATACTTTTTTAATTTTGTATTTTATGATAATACCTACACCTACATGTGCAATTTGTCTCCCTACAGCATACGTCGTACACACCGGTATATCGACGTACTATTAGAGAAAGTGCTACACTTCTGCCTCCTAAGCCTGGGAAGTAGAAAGACGGTAGCTTCAGAAACAGCTGCCAGCCGTCCCCTGTCAGAACTGCCTAGTCGTCAAATGCTTACGGACAGATGTTGTCTAGCACAGTTGGGGTGTACGTACATCCCTGACCCGAGTAGGTCTCGCGGGTCCCCCGGCAACGCCAGCAGCAACAAACACACTCTCTATACTTCCCTCTGCCTCTGGCGCTGTGGTTCCCCACAATTTGAAACTCCACCTACACTGCCACTGCCCGTCTGTGTGCACACAGACACGGCTAACCCGACCCGCTGCATGCTTGCATGCGCGGATGAGGCACATGCACGCACACAAGCAAGGATAGATGCAAACCATACGCCTCCATATATATATATATATATATATGCACGCGTACTGTTCCGCCCCCTCTTCCTTCCCTCTCGCAGCTGCGCTGCCCGCTCTAGGGGCCACTCTAGGCGTTCACAACAAACAAAACAACAAACACACGCTGTTGCAGTCCCCCAAAATGCTGCACAACTTGACAGGATCCCCCCCTGCCAGGTCCCAGCACTCTCCGCCTGCGCTTCTTCCCCCGCCACTCGGTACCTTCCCTTCCTCTGTCCCTAGAGTAGAGAGGAATTAGCTGCTTTTTTACCATTCAGCTCTTCACATCCTCCTCTCCACTTCTATTAGTGTCAATACGCCGCCACTCCACCCTTAGGAAAGACGCCCCAGATCGGGGCCCCTATGCTGCAACCCCTATCCAAGTGCAGTCTGCCAACAGCTGCTATCCGTGCATGCAACAAACAACGTGTGGCCCTTTGGGTATGGCCATGTCTGTCTGATCACTACGGCTCCCGCAACCTCAAAGTAGCAGCACTAGTCGTACTGCCTGCCTACGGCTGCCTGGCTTTGTTGCATATTTCCATAAAAAGTGTAGAAGTACAGACGCAGCGTGCATCTGACAGAGAAAACGGAGATTTAATGCGACGCTGCGAAGCTCCTGTCCCTGGCTATGGGTGGCACACTGACTACCGGAGGAGATGCCCCCGCCTTGATGGACTGCACAAACCCCTTCAAGGCCTCCTGCAGCTCATCGGTGCACAGACTATCCTCCCCTTCGCGCTCCTCTCCAGCAACGGCTCCGTGGCTGCTGCTTCGCAGCCGCTCCTCAGCAGCAGCAGCCTGCCGCTGCAGTGCCACCCAGTGCTGCAGGCTTGCGCGTGCCTGCGCTTGCATCTGCTGTTGCTGGTGCTGGTGCTGCTGTCGGGGGTCGGACGCCGCAGCCTCGCCGCTTTCCCCTCCGGCTCCTTCTCGTGAGATCGAGTGGGGTCTGTCCCAGACGTCCCCAAAGGACGCGTCCGCCGGTCCATGTGATGCCGTGGGGCCTGTGGGCCCCCCGTCTCCTCCTCTCGCTACCCGCTTGAGCGGGCGGTAGAAAGGGGCCTCTTCAGGGCCTTCCTCCAGACCAGCCAGAGCTGCGTAGCTGACGTTTCGAGTTGCCCGCCGTACAGGGCCTGTCCTGCCCCCTGTACTCCCTTGTCGCACTGCTGCTGCTGCTTCTGCCGCTGCACCTGCGTTTCTCAACGCCGCATGCAAATCCTCATCGTCCTCAGCCCCCTGAGAACCCACAGGGCGCCTACATGGCGCTCCCATCGGGACCCCCACCGGCGCCTGTCCTCTTCCTGATGCAGAGAGGAGGCTGCGAGAACGAGGGATGCCTGCAGCTTCTTCTTGAGGGCACATTCTCACGAAACTCGTCGGGGGAACTGCCGGCGTCAATCTCCGGCTGTGGAGGTCGCAATCGCCAGCTGCTGCTGCGGCTGCTGCCGCAGCTGCGCCCCTTGAGATGTAGCTGCCGTCGTCTGCTCTCCCGCGGCGCTCCCCTCCAGCGCCCGTCAGCTCTGACCCGGATCCGCGGCGAGAGCTGCCTGCCACAAGCCCCGCAAGAGCGTCAACAGGTCGCCGCCGCGGGCCCCCTTGCGGGCCCCCTGGGACATCTGCCTGCGAAGTGCCGGCATCAAGGCTGCGGCTGCCTCTGCCCGCAGCGCCCCCCAGGCTATGGCCAGAGGTTCGCAGAAGGAAGCGAGAGATGTCTCTGCTCGTCGGGTACCGACTACCAGAACTGCCGAAGAGCTCCCACGCCTCCGCCGCCTCCCCCTCAAGGCCCCCACCAGCCTCAGCGCTTTCTGACGCCCGCGGGCATCGCGCCACCTGAAGATACACAGCGACGCAACGAGCGTTCCATGCACCCTGCGCCTTCCGTCTTGGCCAGGAAAACAGCACGCATCCAGCACGTGGAATACATACGACGATATAAAGCAGATACAAATACACCTTGTACAGCCATAACATAGCACCACTGCGTCCCGCTTCCCCTCCCTTCTAAAAAAAAAGTCACTGAACATACAACGGCAGCTCGTGCAGCGTACATGAGTTGCTGCTACTTCAACACCCCCTGCGCTATAGGCCTCGAGCTGCCTGCTGCGCATCCCTCTGGGAATCAAAGGAGATTGGGGTCGTACGGGCAGGGCAATCTGTATTCGCTAACACCAGCACGGATGGATCGACTGACCTGAGCTTGTGGCGCACTGCCTACGGCGGGTCCAGCGAAGGAAAAACCTTGACGGCGGAGTCTCTCTGCCTCTGTTTCTTCTTCCTCAACGTACAGTTCCCTTGCACGTTCTGCTGCTCTTACAGCTGCTCGGGCCACGTCGAGCTGCCAGTCTGCTGCTGTTGTTGCTGCCGGTTGTGAAGCAGTGAGGTGCGGCAGCAGGCCACGGAAGAAGGGCAGCGCCTTCGCAAGCAGCTCCCGAGAAGGGGCCCCCTCTCCCCCGCTGCACAGCAGCGAGGCCAGATGGTTGATGCCCAACACGCTTGCTCGGGGCGCCGCCTCCGTACCTCCACCTGCGGAAGCAGTGGCAGCAGAGCCGCTGTTAAGCGGCTGCGGCGGCGCGGCTGCAGTCTGCAGGGGGCAGCAAAAGGAGTCCGATGCGTCGTCGCTGTTGCTGCTGACGACGCCCAGGCGCCCCTCAGACGCCACGCTCCCTGATGACCCACCACCACAACGGGAGGCTGTGGCTGTGTAAGGACTATCTAGCAGCAACAGCCCCTCCCCTGATGTCTCCTCAGCCTCTCTGCTACTACCGCTGCCCGCTCCCCGTCGCTCCGGCATGGAGACATCGCTGGGGTGCGGCAGCAGAACAGGCGGGGCGGAGGGAGCCTCATATTGAGGTAAGCAGAGACGCCAGTCTCCCTGGGAAAGAGCCTTCAAATCGATCTCAGGCTGCAGGTAGCGCAGCAGCAGGGGATGAGTTCTTCGATGGCACGCAGACCCGTCGAACGGCACATACACCACAACAAAAGGCGGAAACACCGTCCACTCCGTGCTGTTCTCCTGAGTCCGGTACTGCCACCGCTTTGCTGCAGCCTCTGCTGTCGTCTCGCCCCCCCCTGAAGTGCCCCCTGCCTTGGTGCTACCCCTCAGCTGGCCCGGCGCGGGTGGAACCAACGCCCTGGGGATGGCCCACACAAGTCGCGGTACAATAGAGCTCTGTTTGCGTCGGGCTCTGCACTCTCTTAAAATGCCTCCGTTGTCGTTGTACAAATCAAACGGCAAACGGTAGATCCGCCTCCCCGCCACCAAGGCGAACTCATTTGCAGCGCCACCGGTCCGAAGGACCATCACCCGCATGGCTCGTACAATGCAGTTCGGTCGCAAGCCCTCCACAGGCCCCGCAGCTCCCGCAGGTGCTGCTCCTGTTTCTGTGTTTGCGGTGTCTGTACAGCTTGACGGTCGATTGCGGCCAATCAAGACGGTGCGGACACCTGTGGCTTCATCTCTTTCGCGCGCCTCCGCAACTGCTGCCTTGGCGCGGGATGCCTGTTCTAGGGAGAAGTAAACATCCTGAACGACGACATCGACGAAATACGCCCTTGCAACGGCCTCCCCCTGACCCTGCTCCTGAGGCGGTGGGTTCGATGCTGTCAGCCCCACAGACAAACATGCCCCAGGGTATATATCTCTAGCGACGTCCGCCTCCAGAGGAAGCAGCCGCCACGCGCACTCTGTCGGACAAGGGCAAGGCACTCGGGGAGGCACGAAGTCGCTCACATGGCATATGAAGTCCTGTGACAAGACAGACAGACATGCCCATCGATATATCATCATAAGCCAGCACAACCTGCAATACCACGAATGCTCTAGCAACGCCTCGACACGCCCCCACACCAACAGCACGAACCAGCAAAAGCAAAAACCAAAGAACAACCTTACACAACCGAGGCATCCGCCACAATAGACGGAAACGCGTTGTTCCATCCCTAATTATCAGAGGGCTAAACTAGAACGGACTCCGAGGCCAACGCGAAAACAGTACTGACTACGGCGAAGGTGCACGGGGTCTTGGGGAGAGGGGTTTTCTAGGAATCGATGCCAACAAAGCGTGTGTGCGGTCCAGGCAACAGAGGGTCGTGTGCTTATTTGGGATAAGTCTGGCCCATTTGAGAAGGCATAAACTGGTCTCTAAACTGGTATGAAGGCCTAAAATAGGGGGAGGGCCTACAGTTGCGCTGCCCTTCAGGTCGCTCGAAGCGAAGCAACGGGCCCTGAAGCTGTTGTTGTGCAGTAGCTGCACCACCTCGCAGTCCCTCCACAGCATCCGCCCCGCATCTCCCGTGTCCGACCGGCCCCACCCTACCCACGTTGCCACTTGAATCGGTAAGCCTGCAAGCCCCGGCAACAACACACACATGCAGGGCTGCATCTGCATGCCTGCACATACAATGCCGCTGCATGTATGCATGCATGCAGCAGCCTTCGGCCGTTCCCTGCTGCGGCCCCAGTACACTACGCAAAGTAGTCCTGTGTTCGTGCGTACACCCCAGTCTTCCACGTTAACACCACCCACATCCTCCCAAACCCATACTCAAAGTCTGTTTTGGTGCTGCTTGTAACGCGGCAGTCAATTACACTGAATACTGCACTTGAAGCAGCTGCCTGGGTCGTTCGTGGCGGTATGTTTCTGCCGTATTTCGCCGCTCCTCTATCTGCGTCTGAGGTTCCTTCGCTCTCTCTAACTGTCACTTCTTTCTGACTGTGAGAATAGGTAAATAATTAATGTGTACACTGCACGAATACATTACACAGTGTGCCCCCCCTTCTGGTTGTGTGTAGTCTGCATATATATATATATATATATATATACATATATATATATGATAAATGGATATATATATATATGCGTATGTGTGTGTGTGCCTCCTTAATGTGCTTCATTTGCTCCCAGACACTCTAGTTCCCAGTGTTTTTCGTTTCTCTCGTCCCCTCACCGACAAAAATCTTTTCTGGAAGTGCCTCGGCCTTTGGCCACATCTTCGGCGCGGTGGCGGCTCCGAATTCTTCGAGTCGAACATCTAGTGGTTCTTCCTCAGCGTTTATTTCTTCGCCCCTGTTTACTTCTCCATCTCCTTTGTGGCCTTCGTCTCCTCTGCTGCCTTCGCCCCCCTTGGCTGCCTCCGCTGGTATCCGCAGCCACTTGTGCTGCAGTGCCCAACGTCGGTCAATCGTGCCCCCAACAAACCGCGTGAAGTTCGCCTCAAACCCCAAATTCGGATGCCCTTGCTGCTGCTGCTGCTGCTGAAGCTGCCGCTGCAGCAGCAACGCACCGCTGAGTCCTGGGACGCTCCGCGCCTGTTCCCCTGCCACCGCCCCCTGAGACTCGCCTCGCATGCTCGCGCATGCAGCTGCAGCAGCGGCTGCAGCAGCAGCTGCTGCAGCTGCCGACGGCGGCTCCTCCTCCGCTTCCGCCCACTCGTCCGCTGCCCCGGGGCTGTAGCTGCTGCTGCTGCTAGCTGCAGCGGGCGCTGGCGCAGCAGCACCCGCAGCAGCAGCTCCAGTAGCAGCAGCACGCGCTGCGCCGCTACGGTCTAAAAGGAAGGCATGGCGTACGGAGCGGCGGCCTTTGGACGTGGCCACACTTTCGCGTTGTAGTCGCTTTCTGCGTATGTTGGGGTCTGCTGCTGCGGCTGCTGCCTGCGCCCCTGTGGGCTGCTGCTGCGGCAGAGCGCCGGCTGTCTGTCGGTCGTGCAGCTCTGCTAAGAAGAGGAGACAACGCCAAGCGAGCAGCCGCCCCTGTGCGGAAAGTAGGCCCATGCGTACATCTCCTTGAAACAAACTAAACAGAAACAGAGCCACGCGGCCTATGGTTATGGGACCCCTGTGGGAACTGATGGCGTCTGCACTGACAAAGGAGCCTGCAGGCAGCAGCAGCTCGCCGTCCTCCGGGGCCCAGGAGTCCAGGTCTTGTGAAGGAGACAGGAACAACGAGGCGATGTCTAGAGGAGGTGCATCACACCGCTTCTCCTTCGTATCATCCGCCGCTTCCCCCACTTCAGAAGATGACGGTACACCCGCCCCCGCACCTTCACCACTCGCCTCAAGCTTCACTTCACCTGATGCTGACGCTCCTCCCCTTGCAGCTGCACTTGCAGCTGGAGCAGCCGCAGCAGCAGCAGCTGTCTCCGGAGTCTCATCTCCCTGCCCTCTGCTCCCTTCTGCCGCGGTCGACCCAGAAGCAGCAGCAACGCCAGAAACGGCTTCTGAGGCGCTGCGGAAGGAGGTGCCGCCGCCGTGGGCGGCATGTGCTGAGAAAGAAGAAGCAGAAGAAGCGCAAGGAGGCGACTGAATCACGTCCACCTGTGCAGCTGTCTCCTGAAGATCCTCTTGCTGCTCGACCGAGGGACACTTTAGCGGCGCATCACTGCTGCTGCTGCTGCTGCTGTGTTCGCATTCCTCTCCCCTGTTGCTCCGGTGCTGCTGCTGCTGCCCGGGTGGAGGAGGCGACAGTGGGAAAAGAGCGGAAGAAGCGCCTCCAGACGGGCTGCTGCTGATGGAGGCATCTTCGGCATCGTCTTTGGCGATGGGCGCTGAGGCGGGGCGGTGGGCATCGCTCGGCTGCCCCGCCCCGGCCTCTGGGGGCCCTGAAGAGGAGTGGGAGGCCATCTTGGGGGAGCAGCGGGGCCCTCAGAGTGCCGCCCCCGCCTCCTCGCCAGTTTTGCAGTTCTATTGCGTGCTGTGTCCGTTTATCTTGCCCTAAGAGGTGGTTTGCGGCGAGTCGGGGTGTGCGTACGGTTGCTCTGCTGACAGGACGCGGGTCAAGGCGGCGCAGGCGCTGCCCTCTCACTCTTCTGCAGGCAAATGGACCGCCTCAGAAAAGAATGGAGAACACGAGGCGGGCGGAGCAGTGCGGAAGTTGCAGCAGTAGTGTTTGGACTGCGTTGAGCTGAGACAGAGTGGGAAAGCTACTTGGGAAAAGGCGGGATGGCGGCGGCCGGCAGGAGACAAAAAGACAGCGCGATTCTAATCCAGATGAGTTTACTGCAGTTCGAAAGCAACGCAAAGAAAATGCATTAAACACCCATGCCCGCAGCTGCACGACGGCTGCACACGGAGGGCTGCCTCTGTGGGCAGCCGTCGGGGTGAAGGGTATATGGTCGGCTTCTGCTTTCTTGAAGCATTCCACTGGTGACAAGATAAGAAGAGAAAGGGAAAACGCGAGTCACGAAGTCTGCGGGAAGCCACAGGCGGGTGGGGGT